AGTGCCAATTAGTGGTAGAGACCACATGACTTATAAATCAGAAGTGAGGCAGCAGTCACAAGGGGCATGAGAAGCTGAGATCAGAACTGGTGGTCATTGAGTCCCTCAAAGTAGCTGTCAAGGGGTAGAAACCAATACAGAACTAGACAGAAACACAACTGGTCAAATGCTCAAAAGTTGTATCAGCCTTTATAACATAGAAATTAGTGTGTGCCCTCACACTATGATTTGGGGGATAGGCATTCTCTTTGTAAATCTGTTTTTCTGTTTTCTGTAATTAGGACATGTTTGTTGTTGCTGTTCGGTTGTGGTTTTGGGACATTTTAAAATGCTGGTCTGATCCACTGTGCTAAGAGGAAGAAAGAGGTTTTTGTTCATCCAGGGCTAGAGATTTAAAGGGGAAGCAGTTTTCCAATTGCCTGACCTAGTAGAAACAGTGAAAAGCTTCAATAGGGAGATAAACTGAGGACAAACAAACCCCAAAACCTTGTTCATATACTCTGAGATTCGTTATTGATTTTGTCTCTGTCTCTTCATTCCCACAATCCATTTCTACCCTGATGGCCCCACAAGAGGCAAAAAGAGACCTCCAAAAACAATGGAAGCCAGGTGCCAGACATGAGGGAGAGACCTCTAAAAACAATGGCCAGCTCCCGGCTTCCATATAGCCATTGTTTTTAGAGCTCTCTTTCCATGCTTATAATCCTAGCTACTCAGAAGGCTAAGATCTGAGGAGCAAGGTTCAAAGCCAGCCTGGGCAGAAAGGTCCATGATATTCTTCATATTATTTTTGTTGTTGTTGTTGTTGTTGGGGCCTGGGTGCTGTCCCTCAGCTCTTCAGCTCAAGACTTGTGCTCTACCACTTGACAGTGCCACTTCCAGTTTTCTGAGTGGTTTATTGGAGATCAGAGTCTCATAGACTTTCCTGTCTGGGCTGGCTTTAAACCACGATCCTCAGATATCAGCCTCCGGAGTAGCTAGGATTACAGGCATGAGCCACTAGTGCCCAGCAATGAGATTCTTATATCCAATTAATCACCCCAAAGCCAGAAGTGGAGGTGTGGCTCAAGTGGTAGAGTGAAAAAGGCAAGGGACAGTACTCAGGCCCTACTACTAGCACTGAAAGAGAGAGACAGTGAGACAGAGATGGAGAACAATGGTAGGCAATTGGAGATAAGATAGGATGCACTGAGATCAGTGGTCTGGGCTGCAAAGGCTATGGAGCTATGGTCTTTGTACTCCAGATTGGAGCCAGTAAACAGAGAATCTGCACTTAGTCCTCACCAGGGTATGGGTAGGTGTTCAATGTGAGCATAATTCTGTGGGTGCTATGTATTAAGTCAAGTTGCCATGTCTTTTTTTCTAGTCCATGAAGTATCCCAACTTCCGGGGGACTATTCCAACTTCCTGGGGCCAGTGGGACTGGAACTGATGATTGACTAAGGGAGTCACCAACACTCAGTCAATGGGGCTAGGAATCTTTATTAGCCACAGCAACTGCTCTCCACCGTATGGAGGCCATGAAGAGCAGCAGCCAAGCTCTCTTATGGCAGGGTTTTAAAGGAGCAAGCAGGTCACACACATCCAGCAGGTTTACAGAAGCAAAACTAGCCATTACTGATCACAAATAACAATTACAATTTCAATAAACAAAGCAATGAGTCATCAAGGCAAAAGTTATATTTCCAGACTACACCTTTGTGGAGCCAATAAGGTTTTAGTTCACATTTAACAAAACACATTCCAAACTTCTTACTTATCACATCCAAAATTAAACTACCTTCCACATTTCCTGGCTCTTTCTGAGTTTCATTGCCATTTGCCACACTTAACACCCTAATTTACTGAGTCTCTGCCTCTGAGAATTTCCTTTCATCATTAACCTAGAGTTCCTTTCTACAAAGAGGTTCTGCCTTAAATGTTTCGCCCTATTTCTGCTAGCCACAATGAGTTTCCCCTTTTCTTATTTTTCTTGGTTCTAACAGTCCAGGATATATGCCCAGTTGCAGCAAACCCCAATCAATGCCTGGAAAGGAAGCAAGTGAGCTTGGGAGATAGGGCTAACCAAACTAAGGCACAAGGCAGAGCAAATGGGAGCTAATGCCGAAGACTGTGAGTGTGGAAGGAAAAGCTGCTGACTAGGGACTGGGGCCTCCACCTTGGCACAGCTGGATCCCCCCAGCCCTCACCAGGTTCTAACTGCATGCCAGGCTGGTTCCCTGGGGTCACCCCCAAAGTCCCAGCCTTATCCCTTCCTGTTCTCTAGAATCCAGTAACATACACCAGGACTTGCTGGCTCAAAACAACAGTCCTCTATTTTGCAATTTGGAGCAGAGCTAGGCTGGGACCCTCTCGTGATTGGGATGGGACAGCTGGGAGCTGGAGGAGGTCTTTTCTCTCCCAGCAGGCTGAGAGCATGCCACTGGGGTTTCTCTTATGCTCTCTCTAGCATGGAAGTCTCAGGGCAGCTCAACTTACTGGGGGGTGGGGATACCAAGAGTAAGAATTTTCAGAGGCCCAGGCAGCAGTTGTAAGGCCCTTATGACCTGGCTTCGGAGTTCCTGGATGTGGTCATTTCTGCCATTTCTCTGTTTAATAAGCCTAATCCAAATTCAAGAGAAGGTATGCATACTCCCCCCAAACAGGGCTCCTAAAGAATCCCTAGCATTTTCAACCCATCACGCTCTTTAACCAGGTCCTCAGCAAACCCTTCTCTTTTTTTTTTTCTTACTGTTTGTTCGTCATGGGGCTTGAACTCTGGGCCTGGGCACTGTCCTTCAGCTCTTCAGCTCAAGGCCAACACTCTACCACTTGAGCCACAGCGCCACTTCCAGCTTTTTCTACTTACGTGGTGCTGAGGAATCAAACCTAGGGCCTCATGCCTGCAAGGCAAGAATTCTACCACTGAGCCATCTTCCTAGCCCCATGCAAACCCTCCTGATCCTTCCAGATTCTCAATCTGAGAACGTGGGCCCTACATCCACATCCAGATCAGATCTGCCACTCAACAACTGGTTTACTCATAGTAGGTTACTTAACCCTTTAGAGTCCAGTTGCTTTGCATGTAAGATGATGATAATGGTGTTCCACAATCCTCAAGTGATTCATTCTAGAACTCTCTCCTGCCTCTGGACACTCATCAAACTCCAGATGCTCAAATCCTTGAGGGAAAAACTGTCTGATGTTTATATAGAAATTACACACACCTTCTCATAGTCTTTAAACCCTCTCTAATGAATTAAAATACTATAATGTAAACAGCAGTCGCTTATATTGTATTCTTTAGGGAATAGAGACAAGAAAAGGATCTGTACAGGTTCAGCACAAGAAACAACCAGACTAAATCTAACTACATGACTATATGGTAGACATCAGCAACAATGTAGCTTTTCTGCTCTTGTTTTCTGTCCCTGGCTGATTGAATCTGTAAGGGTAAGGACTGAGGTCCTAAAAAACCAAAAGCCTGGAGCCAGTGGCTCACCCCTATACTCCTAGCTGCTCAGGAAGCTGAGATCTGAGGATAGGGCTCTGAAGCCACCCTGGGCAGAAGAGTCTCCATAGGACTCTTATCTCCAATTAACCATTCAAATACCGGAAGTGGTGCTGTGGGTCAAGTGGCAGAGAGCTAGCCTTGAGCACAAAGAGGCTCAGGGACAGCGCCGAGGCCCTGAATTCAAGCATGAAGGCCCCAAAGCCCTGGCCTCAGCTGCTGAGCTCTGCTGAAACCTACCCTTTGGTATTTCTCCCCAGATGGGTGCAGAGGCTAGCTTCCAAAGGCTGCTCCATCAGCTCATGACCACGCACAGCTGTAATCAAGGCAGGTCTGTTTCTGGCCTGTTCGGGCCTAGCTGAACTGGTTAGACCTGCACTGCTTCCTTCCAGCAGACCTCTCTTCTTTATCTCTTTCCTTCAAAAGAAGCCTTCACACCTCTATCCCTCTTCCTTGCCGGCTTCCCTGGTAAATCTCCTACAATCTTTAATCCTAGAGCTGCTGTGGATGTTAAATGTGTGTGTGTGTGTGTGTGTGTGTGTGTGTGTGATGAACCAGCAAAAGCCTGGCCTAGAACTAACCCTCCTTCACTCAACTAACATTTAAGTCACCTGCTGGTACCTGGCAGGACTTAAGTGAGCAAGGCGGATGATACCCAGCATGTCAAGCCACTTTAAGCCTCTTTCTGATTCCCTTCGACAGGACAGGAAGAGCCTCTCACATCCCACCTGAGGCCCCGTCCACCCACACCTGCACACCTGAGCCCGCGCCAGTGCCACCTACACCACTGCGCTTGCGCTCCCAAGTGTCCCTTGCTTTCTCCTACTTTGGGTGAAATGCCACCCGCTGTCCCTCTCACACACCTCCATTCCTTCACGAGCTCCTACATATCCCGCAATACCCAGTTCAATCCTGGGGCCCAAGCAGACAGCGCATTCCTTGCAAGGGCACTTGTCATTCTAATTGTGTGACCGTGTCTGGGAGCGCTCCAGGGGCTTCTCCAGAGCCAGGGAACCGTCACCCCCATCCGAAATCTCCAAAGCTCGTCTCCAAGTAGGCCCTCGACCCTAGGATGTCAGGAGCCTCCATCCGGCCCGGCCGGAGTCACCGGGCGGGGGCCTGCGGGGACCGTCGCGCGGGCCGAATGGCGACCGCGCTGCGGGACACATGACTGCGGCCTCCGCCCTGCCCCGCCCGCCTCCCCGCGCAGTCGCCAGCCGTCCCTTCCCGGGCGAGGCAGGCCCCGAGCGTCACCGCTCCGCGCGTCCTCCGCCCTCCCGAGCGCCCCGGCCGGCCGAGCAAACCGAAAGCGCGCGCCGGTCCCTCGCCCTCCGCCCCGATCGCCGCCGCGGGGAGAGCCGCGCGCTCCGCCGGCCGCCGCCCCGGCCCCGCGCCGGCCCCGCCCCGGGAGGCCGCGCACCCAGCCGGCCGCGGGCACCCCCGGGTCCCGGGTCCTCCGACCGCTGCGGCGGCGGCGGCGGCGGCCTGGGCGGTGGCTCCTCCCCTCCTGGCAGCTGGAACGCGCAGGGCGGCGCGGCGAGGCTCGGCCTGGCCGGTGAGCCGCGCGCAGGATGGGCAGATGTTGCTTCTACACGGTGGGGACGCTGTCCCTGCTTCTGCTGGTGACCAGCGTCACGCTGCTCGTGGCTCGGGTCTTCCAGAAGGCCGTGGATCAGACGATCGGGAAGGTGAGTCGGGTCAGGCTGTGTGTGCACGCGCGCGCGTGTGTTTCCAGGTCCTTCCCCCCCTCTCCCCCCCAGGATCTGATGCCTGGAAGACCCGTACCCGGGCTAGCCCTGCAGCCTGGACCCCCCCTGTGTGAGGTCTCTGTGCTGGTCTTCCTGAGCTGGGAGCTGAGGGTTGAGGGATGGGGAGGTACGGAGGCAAATGTGTTCACTTAAAAAGAGGTGGACTTTAAAAAAAAAAAAAAAAGAGGGGGAGGCTTTCTCGTATGTTCTGTCCTTTGCATTTCTCTCCACCGGCTCTGCACACCCCAATCTCTTGAGTACCTACTGTTTGTGTCCCACTTGAAGGGGTGATAAGGCCAAATGAAAAGCATCGCAGGAGGGGCGGGGTACGTGGCCTGCCCCCATGACCTTTGAAGTGCTGTGGTGCTGGGGTTGAGCAGGGACTGTGCACCTACCCTGTGCCTGCGTTCGTGGGCTGGGCAGGACACTTGGCAGGCAGGCCAAGGCCTGCAGACTGGCAGTCTGTGCTTCGTCTTTGTATCTTGTAAGGCCAGCCCCTGTTGCCATGTCTGGCCATTATTCTTGTTCTCTCTTAGACAACCATCCCTTTGAAGGCACAGGGGCATTTAGATGCTTCTGGACTGCATAGCTAGCCGTGTCAGAAGTTCCCTGTTCTCACACTTTCTAGTCATTTCTGCTCTCCTTTCACCCGCATCCACGGAGCTTGGTAAAAACAGGAACAGGAGAGAGTTACTGGAATCACCCTTTCCTTTAATTAAAAAAAAAAAAAAATAAGGCTGGAGATTAGCCAGTCATTTATTTATTTTTCTTTTGTAATACTGGGGGTTTGAAGTCAGGACCTGTACTATACTATAAATACCTAGGCTGACACAGCGATCATGACCAGCTTATTGATTGAGATGGGGGCGTCTCCTTCATTTTTCACCTAGGTTGGCTTCAAACTAATCCTCCTAATCACTACCTCCTGCGTAGCCAGGATCATAGATGTGACCAGCTGCTCTCAGCTTGAAGCAACCTTTCTTGTTAGTGCCCACAACCTGATGCACAATGTCTCTTAATGATTGCTGCACCTGCCGTCAGCCAGATACAAAGCCTGGGCCTGGTCCCATTAGACTTACTGCTCCCTTTTTTGTAAAGTTGCCTTCTTCCAGGAGGCAATATCTATCTATCTCTCTATCTATCTGTCTATCTATATCCATATAGATAGATATACAGACATATATATGTATATATATATATATATATATATATATATATATATACAGATATGTAGATAGATATACACAGAGAGATTCTCTCAACAGAGGTTTCCAGAAGTAATCAGTTACTTGTGATCTGTCAATTGGAGGAGGAGAAAAAAACCTTTAGTATCACAACAAAGCATCATTTAATTTTTACTAACTTTTCATTGCCAAGGGAATACAAGGCCTACATGCTCAGCAAAGACCTTGTTCCTCTGAGCATCCATATTCATTCTCACAGCTAAATCTCCATGGGAGATTTATTTGAGGACATAAACTCTTGCTGTGGGTGCTGGAGTTATGCTGTGTCACATCAGTATGTGAATTGTTTTGTGTAGCTTTGTTTCAGGGGAGACCTATGGAATGGGGACCCTCATGTAGCCATAGTGGCACCCTTTCTCCAAGTTTCTCTGGGGAAAAGGTGTCTGTAAGGCATCTGAGTTGGTGTTGGCCTTTCTAAGTGGCTTTTTTCCAGGAGGAGTAGTGTCTATCTCACTGATACGTTACAGTACAGAAGTACTGTGCAATGGGGTTTCTGATATGAAGGCTGTGACAGAGCTAAGTTTGAGTGGACAGATTTGAGAATGTTATAGGTCCCACATTACCATTCTGCTCTTTGCTGCCCTGCCATGTCAGCTGGGTGATCATGGCTGGTCATTTAACTTCCTTGATTCATGTTTCCCTATCTGTAGACTGAAATAATAATAAGTAATGTAAAGAGAAAGGTTGTAAGAATTAGTCAAGCAAGTGGGTGAGTATAATTAAGGCTTAAGAAATGATAGCAATTTTATTAGAAGGCACACAACAAAAACATACATGAGATTATAATTCAGACACTATGGATAGGTTTTTATCTTTGTTTTTGTCTGGGGTTTTGCCTAGACTAGAGCAAACTCATGACCCTGCTGTCTGTGAGCCTTGCATGGACTACAGGTGCACTACACCATGCATGGCTTTCTTATGTTTAGATCTTTAAGCTGCCATTTTCTTGTGTGTATGGGGGAGTAGGAGAACTAGGGCTTGAACTCGGGGCATTGTTGTGCTCTTGCTTAGCATTTACTCTTGCTTAGCATCAAGACTGGCACTCTGCCACTTGAGCCATAGATCTACTTCTGGCCTTGGGGTGGTTAATTGGAGATATTAGTCTCTTGAGTTTGTATGCTCAAGGTGTCTTAAAACCATGGTTCTCAGATTTCAGCCTCCTGAGTAGCTTGGGTTATAGGTATGAGTCACTGGAACCTAAATGATCTTACCATTTTCAAGTGTTGATTTAGGACAAGTTACTGAACATCTCATAGCCTCAATTTCATAATTCAAAAATGAGAAGGAGTGAGCTGGGAAGGTGGCTCAGTGGTAGAGTGCTTGCCTTGCACGCAGGAGGCCCTGGGTTTGATTCCTCAGCACCACATAAGCAGAAAAAACCAGAAGTGGCACTGTGACTCAAGTGGTAGAGCACTAGCCTTGAGCTGAAGAGCTGAGGGACAGCGCCCAGGCCCAGAGTTCAGGCCCCACAACCGGACCCCCCCCCCAAAAAAAAGACTAGCCATGTCAACGAGTTCTCTGGCCAGTCGTGGGGCCTGAACTCTGGGCCTAGGCACTGTCCCTCAGCTCTTCAGCTCAAGGATAGGACTCTACCACTTGAGCCATCTTCCCAGCCCTGTCAAAGAGTTCTTAAGACCCTCATCTCAGTCACTGAAAAGTTGGGCACAGTAGCACTTGTCCCAGCTATAAAGAAAGTATAAATAGGAGGATTGGCTTCCAGTGCTGGTGGCCCATATCTGTAATCCTAGCTACTCAAGACGCTGAGATCTGAGGATCACCATAAGAACAGCCCAGGCAGGAAAGTCCATGAAACTCTAATCTCCAGTTAACCACCCCCAACTGGAAGTGGCACTGTGACTCAAAGTGGTAGAGTGCTAGCTTTGAATAAAAAAGCTCAGGGATAGTGCTCAGGCCCTGAGTTTAAGCCCCACAAACTGTCAATGAAGGTGGAGGAGGAAAAGGAGGAGGAGGAGGAGGAAGAGGAAGAGGAGGAAGTAGGAGAAGAGAAAGTTATTCAGGATAGCCCAGGGATAAGATCCTATTTGGAAAATAACTACTAAAGCAAAAGGAGGCAAGGGTGAGCTCAATTGGTAGAATGCCTGCCCAGAACGCTCAAGACCTGGGCTCAAATTCCAGAAAGACCAAAAAATAAAAGAGGAGCAGGAAAGGGATGAAATTCAAATGTGTAGGGTTAGCTACTTGTTCGAAGTTTAGTAAAATAATTGTATGAAGAATTTATTTCAAGTGATTATTGTCCTTAAGTCCCTCTTCCGTGACTAAGGTGATGGAAGGAAGACTTTTGTTTTGGCTAGTGAAAATGGTAGAAAGGAAGAGCTATTATTAGAATCTAATGTCCAAGGTGCTCAGTGCTTAAAGGAACCAAAATTTAGATGACCAAAAACTAATAGAAAGGAATCAGAGCTAGTCCTGAAGAAGATGGAGAGGCTAGCTTCTCAAAGCTCTGTCTTAGAGTGATGCAGCTGGACAAGGCCTTTTATGAGCGGGAAAGGAGACAGAGAGAGGCAGCAGACTGGTTAAAGTCTTTTTTAGTGAGGACATGTCTTCTGCAGAACTTCAAGTGGAACTTGACCTTGACCTTGTGTGGCTGGTTAATAAGGAAGAATGTTACAAATGTCATATAAGTTCTACCAATCTAAGAATGGTCTAGCTGTTATCTTAACCATCTAAGTGGGGCTTTTCAGCCAACGGGTTGCAGGATGGGTAGAAGGGAAGGAAGGATCAGAGGACAATCTCGAAGGAGCCTCTGTTCTAGAAACCAGATATTCTTTTTTTTTTTAGTCAGTTGTGGAGTTTGAACTCTGGGCCTGGGAGCTGTCCCTCAGCTCTTCAGCCTAAGGCTTAGTGATCTACCACTTGAGCCACAGCACCACTTCTGGCTTTTAGTGCTTATGTGGTGCTAAGGAATCGAACCCAGGGCCTCATGCATGCAAGGCAAGCACTCTACCACTGAGCCACCTTCCCAGCCTGAAACCAGATATTCTGTTCTCATGGGAACTGTCTTGAATTGGGCAAGCCCTGAAATTATTGCTGCTTCCATGTTCTCCTTTGCAAAAGCAGTATAGACAGTCCTTCCTCTTTAGCCCATATCTACTTCCTGGGGGATATGAGTGCATTAGCAAGGCCTTCTTTGTCAGGCACTTGCACCTTTCTGAGGACAGAGCTTTGCAGAAGCCTAAAAGACTATTCTGCTGGAAAGCAAATGGCTTTAGCATCTCTCTCAGTCCTATGACTAAGCTGTTGTCTCTCTTTTTAATTTTATTCTCTGTGAAACTGGGATCCAACCCTGAGTTTTACATATATAGGCAAGCTGTCTACTGCTGAGCTAGAGCTTCAGTTAACTCCTCAGCTAAGGAGTTCTCAAGGATTCCTCATACAGTGATCTCATCTCCTGAGTTGCCTCCCATGACACAAGATTTTCTGAATTGGAAAAAGCCTTTGGAGAGTAAGCTATTATTTAACCTTTTTTTGTGTGCCTATCCTGGGGCTTGAACTCAAGGCCTAGCTCAGTCTCTGAGCTTTTAGGCTCAAGGTTAGCATCCTACCATTTGAACTACAGCTCCATTTCTGGCTTTTTGGTGCTCAACTGGAGATGAGAGTCTCATGGATCTTTAATACTTAGCCTGGCTTTTAACCTCGATCCTCAGATCTCAGCTTCCTGAGTAGTTAGGATTATAG